GTCCGAGACGTTTTTTGAAGAAGAAACCTGCAGCGAATCGGAACCTGCAGAACCGCCAGCAAAGAGAGCCAAGACATCTGATGCCAAGACGGCCAAGGAAGCTGCTGACCACCAGGTGAGGCGCGTCAAAGAGTCGTTTGAAACAAGGGTGGTGACAGCCCTGGCGAATGTCCCGAGACCTGAGCTCAAGGCGATCCAGACTTGTGTCCGAAGCTTGCCATCAGAACTCCGACTGTTCCCCCCGTGCACCTCATATTGCTACACGTGGATGATGGGCAAGAGATGTCGGAAGACGTGCAAGTATCTGCATCGCAAGGTGCCAGAGGGCTCCATAGGGAAGAGCATGGCAATCAGCAGTTTGGGCCAGTTTGCCATCCAAGATACTTCCAAACAGGTGTCCAACGATCTTTTGTATGATGTGGCTGCAGACCTGGAGGAGCAGAGATGTTTTGTGCTTGATGGGGCGAAGGGCGCAACCATCAGAAGTCTGCGGAGGCCCCCAGATAGAATTTTGAGTCCAAATGTGGATGCAAGCGCAGCGAAGGCATTGCAGGGCAAGAGCTTGAGCGTGCATGCCAGCAGCTTTACCACGTTGGTCGTAGCGTTGCAGGCGAAGGTTCATTTTGGATGCGTATACCTTGACTATATGTGGCCACTGGACTACTTTGAGAGCACACAGCGTGAGGTGCAGAGCTTGTTGTCCAAGCATCGCACCGCAGATCGGGAGCAGCAAGAAGCCTGCCGTGACTACTGCGATGCGCTCCTGACGGATGGCCTTCACGACGTGGAGCTCCTAGTCCTGAATCCACGGCACAGCCTTCTGAGCCCCACTGGCGCAGTCTTGGCGGTGACTATGGTCCACTCGCCAAAGTCCAAACTGGCAGCACAGCGCGCCCGCCTGGAGCAAGTGCTGATTGAAGGAGCGGAGCTGCACCAGGTTTCTTTGAACTTCATGGGGTATACGAAGCCCGGTAACCGACCCGTGGCAACTTACTTCTACGGCTGGAACCTTCAGTGCCAACTTGAGTTGCTGCCGAACGTCTCGAAGAAACTAAAGAAACACTGCTTCCTCAGCGACAGCCGAAGCCTCTACACGCCCGAAAGCAGTGACAGAAGCGTTTCCGACCTCCTGCCTTGAAAACGCAATGGATGCACAGCTTGTGGAGTGCTGCAGGTGGGTGTTTGTCAAATTATGGCTATGTGAACCATAGTCTAGACTTCTTAAACGGGGTTTATATCGGTGATTTTATAAGGGACTACTGAAGGCCTTATTCAGGGATACTAGGAGTTTGGACTATAGCTCATGGAGACTAACTCATTTTGACAACAACCCCTGGTCGAGGTGTGGACACCTGCTATAAGCCAACCTCCACACATGCTGGTACATCTTCTCCCCAACTTTTTGTGGCAGCAGAAAGAGTGACTATTGCTGATGGGCAACTTTCACCCGTTGAGGATGCCTCTGCTATAGTTGTATTATGGTTCTTCCCAAAAACAGGAATGCTCAACTCGGCCCTTCAAGAGTCAGAGACAAGGAGCTATCAAATTTGTCCACCAGAAGGTGTATCTTTGCAATCCCAACCACATTCCCAGGTAACCCCAACAACCCACTTTTCCATTCTCAGCAAACGACGCATGATTTATCCGGACTCTGGACCCAGGCACTCGGTGCAAGAGGTCGCCTCCGCGTACCAGGCGCGCATTTTGATTCCCGTTTCTAGTTTTTTGGGGCCGCGCACTCCCAGCATTCTCATGGACGCCCTGGTCCTGACAGGGCGGTTTTTACCTTACCCCCCCAAAATGGTAGTTTGCCTAAATAGGGGGACCCCAACATAGACCCCAATCTAGTATAATCCTTGGAGCTTGGATTTGGAAAAGGTCTAGGAGTCTAGGGGCCTTGGTGTTGGCAATGAAGGTGTGATGGGCTTGAGGAGATTCATGGCCTGCAGGGTTTCATGTTGTTTGAAGATGTCTCGTATGCACCCTCGACGTTTTGAATCCCCGCACGCAATATCAAATACCCCCACCCCCCTAATCGAAAATATTCCCATTGCACTGTGTTTTCCCATATGTTGGCAATATTCAGTATTAGCGGCGTGGGAGTTTGCGTACCAAAGTGAGGGATTACCATGTGAGGGGTTTTGGGGGCTGGAGCGGCTCTGCAGGCTATTGAGCAAGTACTGCTAATGGAAAGATTGTCCTACTTGGAGGCTAATACCCCTTGATGGGCTTATAGGGGTTACCGGGGGTTACCCCAAATATAGGTAGGGCGATAATCCCAGTTATCAGTAGTTACTAAGTCCCATGGGCCTCCAAGTATTAATCGTCGTGGGGCATTTTTAGCCTAGTGCAGGAGATCATCCACCCGTGGTAGGATTATTATCCCCAAAACCTCTTGCTACGGGGCCCTCAAGAATGTTCGCCATAGAAGTAAGGAATGTAGGCACGTACCCTGATTCCTATATGCAAGGTGTACATAACCTCAAGCAGAGCTGGTAGCTACTGTGTTCCATCAGTTTCTGAACTATCTCAAGTGGACAGAAACAGGCACAGTCTCAGTCCACATCCACGCACGCCAGGCGCTGCCTTTGCAGACGTTATGGACCCTGTGTCCGCCTCAGATCTGAAATACGTGCATTTACAAACGATGTCAGGGACATCATCTGTCTCCAGTTTGTCCTTGGGAATGAAAAGCAGCTCATAGCAAAGACTAGTGATTTCCGTGTCCACCTTACATATTCCTGTAATATCCCTACATATCCCTGTATATCCTTATATATCCCTACATATCCCTAGCTATCAAAAAATAGATCCCTACATTCACCACATTGCATCAGCCTGGACCATGAACCAGGCAAGGCAGAAAATGGCTCGAGCTGCTTGCTAAAATTGCACCATCCATACCTTACCGCAATACATGGTATATAATGGTATAGTATTATGGTATATTATGGTATATTAGTATACTACGGAATATCTATGGAATATGAGTATACTATGGTATGTTTATGGAATATTATGGTATTACCAGGGATTCTAGTCTGCTTTCTGAACTCCTCTCTTCTCCTGGAAAAGAGTGAGTGAGCGGGATGCTTTTGCAAAGTTAGGGTTTGATACCCCCATTTAGGGTTTAGGGTTTA